CGTTGTGGACTTTCCACATTCCTATGGTAGAGACCAGCCTCTCCCGAGAACAACCAACTCTTTTATTCCCACAAATTAGTATTAATTTTGTGGGCCCCCAGAGGGATGACAGGTTGGGCTAATTTTTTATGAAACCAGTCTTGTCATTTGTGAATTGAGCGCTCTAACCACTGCACTATCATAAATTATAACATCACAATGTTATCAATGTCATTGCATAATAAAGGTTTTTGGGTGAGATCGCGTTATCATAAATGTGTCGCAACCCTTCCACCACCCGACACGGCCAATCAGTATAAAATGTGTCACGTTAACAAAACGCCAATTAGTTACTTCTTCAGCCCACCGGTGTGTTTGAAGAGTGGATCCACAACATTCACAATTTGAGTAGTACGACGTTTCGCTGGTAATTACATCTAGCATGTTCAGGCGATTTGCCAGAATAGTGAAGCCATTCACCTGCTTCCGGTCTTAAATAGTGCAGGATGACGTCATCATTGTTGAACCCCATCAGGTTTCAAATTTCATTTATTAGGTATAGCTCTGTGAGCCATGCGGCTCTTAAGTCGGGTGCAACCGCAACCAACAAAATATGAACACAGAACATCTTAAAGCGACAACGCGTAACAGAAACATCCTGGAATAAACCAGCAAATATTCTACACAAAAAACCGTATTAAAACGCTGTGTGCAAAAATCAATGTGGTGCAAGCCAACAACAACAATCATAAGACAATTTAGATTAACCATATGTTTTTGAATCACCAAAATAAAGCTACAAAAACAATATAACAACAATAATCATAGGAACTGTGATTTTAAATTTAACAATAAACGATATACATAACACGTACGACAAAACCTGCAGCCATAGCTGGCAGCACGACACTCCCAGTGTATGATGTGTGAGTGAGTCAGTAGTAGCGTGAGTGAGTGTATGATGTGTGAGTCAGTGTATGATGTGTGAGTCAGCGTATGATGTGTGAGTCAGTGTATGATGTGTGAGTGAGTCAGCAGCAGCGTGAGTGAGTGTATGATGTGTGAGTCAGCGTATGATGTGCGAGTCAGTGTATGATGAGTGAGTCTGTATGATGAGTGAGCGAGTGTATGATGTGTAAGTGAGTCAGCAGCAGCGTGAGTGAGTGTATGATGTGCGAGTCAGCGTATGATGAGTGAGTCAGTATTAGGTTGAGTGAGTGTATGATGTGTGAGTCAGCGCACGAAGTGTTAGCGCATGTTGAGTGAGTCAGTGTATGTGTGAGCGAGTCAGTGGCAGTGTGAGTGAGTGTATGATGTGCGAGTGAACCAGCACACGATGAGTGAGCCTGTGTATGATGAGTGAATGGGTCAGTGGTTGTGCGAGTGTATAATGTGTGAGTGAGTCAGTGCATGATGTGTGAGTGAGTCAGTGTATGATGTGTGAGTCAGTGTATGATGTGTGAGTGAGTCAGTGTATGATGTGTGAGTGAGTCAGTGTATGATGTGTGAGTGAGTCAGTGCATGGTGTGTGAGTCAGTGTATGATGTGTGAGTGAGTCAGTGTATGATGTGTGAGTGAGCCAGTGTATGATGTGTGAGTCAGTGTATGATGTGTGAGTGAGTCAGTGTATGATGTGTGAGTCAGTGCATGGTGTGTGAGTGAGTCAGTGTATGATGTGTGAGTGAGTCAGTGTATGATGTGTGAGTGAGTCAGTGCATGATGTGTGAGTGAGTCAGTGTATGATGTGTGAGTGAGTCAGTGTATGATGTGTGAGTCAGTGCATGGTGTGTGAGTGAGTCAGTGTATGATGTGTGAGTGAGTCAGTGCATGATGTGTGAGTGAGTCAGTGTATGATGTGTGAGTGAGCCAGTGTCGGCTCCCTCTGCTCGCGCCGTCGCCCCCCCCCCCCTGGCTCCCTCGGCCCCCTCACAAACGGCCCCGCCAGCCGCTGCTGGGCAAAAAAGCTAGTTACTTAATAATACGCTTCCAGGCTGCGCTGAAATGTCATTGCATGCAGTATACTCCGTTGCATGGTTCACAGATTGCTGCTCGATGCAACAAATTGGCACGTGCGTGCCGCTCGTGAACTCGAGCGATTCTTTACTCTCACGGCGTGTGAAGACTGCTCGTTGAAGGCACTGTAGAAACGTAACGGCAGTACACGGTGTAACGAATGAACGAATCAATGAATTGCCCAGACTTACACATTTAACATTGGACATCAACAGCAATTATCACTAAGTAGAACAGGATTGGCCACATTTACCAATACGGTATTCAGTGACTTCTCTGTTTGCACAGTCGACTGAAAACCAGAAGGTTGAGTGTTGTGTTGGCAAGATGTTTACTCCGTCACCTGGTACACAGGAGATCGTGGGTTCGATCCCAATCCTGATGACTCTATATTTGGAGTCTGCGTGTCTCTCTCCCATGGTCGCGTGGATTTTTCTCCGGGTCCTCCGGTTTTTCACTCCACATTTAGAAACATGCGTTTAGAGTATATGGCTGCTATCAACTTTCACGCAATAAGCCACTTGGCTGAGCTATCATTTGTGGCCAGGCCGCGTCTGAAAGCGAGCTACATAGCTCAGTGGGCCTTACCCGGTAAATTTAAAATGGTGTTTGTGTATCTTTCCAAAGTCAATTAAACCAGTACCACATTGTAGGAAGTTAAAAGTGGTTTCTAGAAATGTGTGATTTTAACAACGGGTTCATTATGGCCACGATCACCACCGGCTCACTTGAGCAGGAAGTCACTTTGGGCCTGATTCATGCGCAATTTGTGTTTCACGTATTTTGCGGAATTTTTGCACTTGCCAGAAAGTCTCCACATATTTGGCAGACACTTTCTGACATCGTTGGCTCCGACGCAACCCTGCCCTGACCCTGCCAGCTCGGGCCACTGTGGAATTGTTCGTGGGTTCGATCCCGACCCTGACGCCTGCTGTATAGTTTAACACGTAGGCTTTTTCGACCAATTTCATCCATGTTTTTTTTTTGGGTTTGATCGTGTAAATATAAATTTGAAATTGTATGTCTCTCTCTCTCCCTGTGGTCGCGTGGATTTTTCTCCTGGTCCTCCGTTTTTTCCCTCCACATTTAGAATAAACATCACCACGCGTTGAGAGTATTTGGCCTTTGCTATAAATTTCCACGTGGTAAGCCACTTCGTTGACCTATCATTTGCGATGGCCAGGTCGCGCCTGAAACTGTGTAGCTTAGTCGGCCTTACCTGGTAAAATAAAACATTTTTTTATAGTAACAAAAATTGGTGGATTAGGTGACAGTTGTGCGTGGTAATGACTGCACATGAATAGAAAAATGCGGAATGGGGCTGTTTTTAGGCAAAAATTGTAGGCATTCCACGAAAACTTGGCAGAATAATGGCCAAATAGCTACATGAGTCAGGCCCTTTGACATTGACTGTCATCAGCTTATCACAGTGAGGTTTCTGTTTAAAACACACGTAACAATAATAATAGTTGGTCCTTGTCTGCCTGTGACATCGCCTGTGCTTTCAGAGGCAGCGCTCGCGCAGATGCGCGCTTCTTTGACGCCGTAGACAGGCCGCGCGATGATGATGATGATAGTAATAATAGTGGCACGTCTCTCAATGGTGCATCACTTGTCCGCGTCCGAATCGCTCGGGCTCCGCGCAGTGCGGTCACAGCTGAGAGATCGGCTTCTCTTTATTTTTTACTACTTTGTTTGGTTATCTCGCCCGTTCTATCTTGTGAAAGGTCCGGTTACACTGAAAAAAAAAACCCAACAAGAGGCACACAATGAAGGCAAAGCAAACAATTCGTCAATTTCCTGCACCTTGTGCACCTTCCTTTCGAGTTCTGTATTCGCACAAAGCCCCCCCCCCCGCCACCGGAGCCCTTTGGAGTCTGGCTGGCTGCGTTAGGCTGGTGTTTATTTTTGTTCACGTCTGATGCACTTGCTCTGCAAACACAGCGTGGAGCCGCACTTTAGACGTTCCGCACCCTTTTCTGTCTCCGCGGGTCGGACGGTCAAAATGTCGCCTGCCGTGCTCAAAATATCTCTCTAGGCCCACGCTCATCTCAGTGTTGGCGGGGCGGGGGGTGGACCGGTCACCTCCCTAAGTACGACTACTGTCGACGTCCCACAATGTGGTACTTGTCTGCCTGACCCTGGGGAGATGATGGGCTGAGTTGACCTCCCCCCATCCGGGATTTTTTTTTTATTTGCAACCTTCTCCGCACGAGCTGCTGCCACAGAGACAGAGACACCCCGTCTCGACAAACACGTCGTCACTTTACTACGAAGACCGCCTACCTGATTTTCGTCGCCTCAACCCACACGTTCACGTCGCTGACGGCATCGTCGTCCGTCCATTCTCGTGATACTTCGCCTCCACTACCACCCACTACTATCAGAGCGATGTACTACCCTGTACGTTGCTCTGATTGGCGTCGTTTCGATATTTGTCGTCGAACCGTTCAGGAACGCATCCCCGACGTGATCCCGGGGGGGAGCGGGTATTGCCGCATCTCCCTGTGTGTCCGAGTGATCAAATAATCGCAGTAACCTGGGTCCCTCTAAACCAGCGGTTCTTAGCCTGGCAGATTTTTTTTTAGAAGGTAAATCATCGAAACACAACTTAAGCAGGGGCACGTAAGTACAACTAATTTCTCTCATCAAACCCTATGTATTTGTTAACATAATAAAAAAACGTTTGCGAACCCAAGGTTGTGCAAGGCTTGCAGTAAAGGTTAAGAACCACTGCTCTAAATCGACTGACTGATGCAGAGTGGCTTGTCGACATCAACACTGCCAAGACATGCGACCGGATGTGCTGCTGGCCGATGGGTGATGCCAGTTGAGTCGACCCCAGACAGGGAGTCGATCTTGTGACCTCCTCAAGCGCGCTGGCCACAGCGACACTGGGGACAGACGTGCCGCGACCCCCCCCCCCGACCTCTCTCTCCCCCTTGTCCTCTCCTCCCCCTTGACCTCTCCCCCTTGACCCCCCCTCCCGACCTCCCACCCCTCCCCAGGTGCTGCAAAGACTGCACAGGGGAGGCGAGCGGCTGCCCTGCCCCCCCTCCTGCCCCCGCGCGCTCTACGACCTCATGCTGTGCTGCTGGCGTCTGGCCCCGCACGAGCGGCCACCGCTCGGCCGCCTCGAGGGACGCGTGGCCCAGGTGGGAGCGCTGCCGGCGTCGTCACAGCTCCCTCCCTCCCCTCCCTCCCTCCCTCCCTCCCTCCCTCCCTCCCTCCCTCCCTCCCTCCCTCCCTCCCTCCCTCCCTCCCTCCCTCCCTCCCTCCCTCCCTCCCTCCCTCCCTCCCTTCCTCCCTCCCTCCCTTCCTCCCTCTCCCCCCTCCATCCCTCCCTCCCCCTCCCATCCCTCCCTCCACGTATACCCCCACCCAACGGGCCACTCCTCTTCCTCCCTTGGCCTCCCATCATCATAGCAATCATCATACCAATCATCATCCCCACCGTACTCCCTCCTTTCCAGCGCAGTGTCGCACGCCAGCCGCGGCCTTCCGTTACGCGTGCGGACCGTTAGGATCGGCCCCCCGAGGTGGTCACCGGTCTTAACTCTCCATAATAACAACAAAAAATGTTGGGTGAGATAGCGTGAATAGAGATGTTGTGCCGTTAAACCCACCACTACCCAACAGCCAATTAGTAATGTTTGTCACGTAAAATGTGCCAATTAGCTGCTAGATCAGCACACTGGTTTGTTGGAGAGCAAACCCGCAACATTTACGTCCAGCGGGGGCATGAATGAATCTTATGGCGGGACCCTGGTGTCCCGAATAAACAGAAGTCAAAATAAGAATAAATAAAAAAAATTGGCGACTTCGTCCCACCGCGCTCATAAACGCCCCGACCCACCTGGCGTGGATCATTCTGTTGTCATGTCGTCCAAGCGAAGCAGCGAGAACAAATGCGCAGAAGAGCTGAACAAGCGAAACGTTGATTAGCGCATCGTGTAGAGCTCGTCGAGAGGAATAGATTGCCGTATCGTTCGCCTTCAACAGACATAAAATGACGTCGCAACGCAGTTTATGCGAGAGCCGGGGGCTTATGGGACCCCGGGGTCCCACCATAAGGTTCAATTATTGACCCGCCCCCGCTGGGCGTCTGCGAAAAAGAGCTTCATTGCTCATCGAATTCATCCAGTAACACCACTGCCCGCACTGATCATATGTCTATATTGTATATCACTGTTAGGCTGTAGGTCCCTGTGTGAGGCTGTAGGTCCTGGTGAGAGTCTAGAGGCCCCTGTGTGAGTCTCTGTATGGGTTTTTAGGTCCCTGGGTCTATGGGGCGTCCCTGTGTGAGTCTGTAGGTCCTTGTGTGGGTCTGTGAGTCTCTCTATAGGTCTAGGGGTCTCTATATGGGTTGTTGTGTCTCTGTGTAAGTCTATGAATATCTGTGTGAGTCTAACATCTCACACCACGACCCACGCAGTATCACATCACGGCCCGATTTGAGCATTCACCATCAGCATTTCAAATGTTCACGTGTGTATGTTGAACTTCTTTTGCACCATACGTAGCGAACCGCGCTAATCGGAGGTGTGGATGAAGGGCAACAAACTAAACACAAAAAGCAGTTTTGAAGAAATGAGTTTGTCAATGTAGATGCTTTAAAAGTGCATAGCTCCAGTGGCTTCCTGATATCGGAAGGAAGAGCGTTCCTGACGGCCGCAGAAGCGCGTCTGAAAGCGCCGTGCGATGCGGTGACCACCGCCTTTGTTCGATGGCCAGCAGCCAAAGTCCGTCGTTAACGCGAGGACGACGGAAGTTTGTGTGACGGTGGTTTATGCTCCTTGACGCGAAATCAGCGAGGTTCACGGTGAGGCTACCCCCGAAGCGACGCTGTGGGTCACTCGCCACCCTCGACACGGACGTAGAACCGCCGCGGATTGACTCCCCGCGACGCGGAGGAAGACCAGGACAACCAACGAAATCCTCGGTGGAGACGCGATGCAGAAAACAACAACAAACCAAGGGCAGTCGTCCATGTGATGACAGTTTTTGGTGTTCAGGCAAAATGCATTCAGATTACTGATGATGCTGGAGATGAAAAATGATAGTGCCTCATGTGGTTTAGACACGAATTAGGCGGGCAGGTGACGACATTGGCAAGGGGTATAATGGAAAAAAATCGTGAAACGTGAGCAAGGTAGCAGGCATGGATGAGAGGTGGTACATGTTTGGAATTATGCTGACAGACAGTAGACGGGAGCACGTGGATTAGCGAACGAATGCAAGTTTGGGAGGTCACGTTACCTGGTACGTAAAGTGAGTGGGATTGGGTGGGGCGCGTTGCACGAGGGGATGACGGCCCGTGGTCAAGGCTAACAACCGAGTGGCAGCCAAAGGAGTGAAGCCACACCAGAGAGCACATCCACCGTGGAGATGGAGTCGTGAAATCAATCTCACGTGGAGGTGCTAGAGATGGATCGTTCCATCGCAGGATCGCGAGAGACAGTGACGACTTGCGAAGGACTTCAACCAGCAGTGGGTTAACCACGGTCGACGACGATGATAATGATGATGATAATGGATGATGATGACGGTGCTGGTGGTCAGATTAAAATCGGAGTAGCTATAACGACACCGGGGTGGGGGGGGGGCTTGGGGGAAATGTTTGCTCGGCTGGAGGTTTGCTAGCACTGTACTTATTGTGTGCCGGAGTTTCGCTGTGGTCAGACCTCTTGGCTCGCGATAAAGGGGAGGCGGAGTGGCGGTGGGGTCGTAACCTTTAAACCCCCCCGTGTCCCAATGGGCCCCCCCTTGCTGAGTTCCGCCGTTCCGTGTTCAACGGCAGGTGCAGCTCCGGGTCGCGTCAGCTGATGGTGATTCTCCGCAGCTGGATGGAATCGCTCGCTGCACCGACAGATCCTCGGCCCCCGCTGGCTACAGGTGCTCGCGTTGCCCTTCCCTCCCTCCCTCCCTCCCTCCCTCCCTCCCTCCCTCCCTCCCTCCCTCCCTCCCTCCCTCCCTCCCTCCCTCCCTCCCTCCCTCCCTCCCTCCCTCCCTCCCTCCCTCCCTCCCTCCCTCCCTCCCTCCCTCCCTCCCTCCCACCCTCCCTCCCTCCCCCCTCCTCCTCCCCCCCAGTGGAGAGTATGTCGGTCCCAGCCGCACATACGAACGGACGTTGAGACAAAGCTGTCGGTGTGCCCCGCCACCCACGTGCCGGTCACCGCGCCGGAGGCTGTAGCTCTCACGCGTTTTTTTTTAATTTAAGGTTGTACCACACGTACTTCCGGCCAGCCGGCACCACGTCCGACATTTCGTGGCCGTGCCCTGGGTACAGCAGCAGCAGCAGCAGCAGACACCAGCGGCAGTGGGCAGCGTGCGTAATCGAGGGTAACACGCGAGCCGGACGCTCGCGGAGAAGCTCCCAGCACGCGGGGACGAAGGGTCGGACATCGTGCCGAACGACGCGCTGTACGCAGCACAGCGGTGAAAACCTGCGTAGCAGTTCTACCAGAGAGCAGTGTGTGTCTCACATATGGCTTGGGTATCCACTAGGTTGACTTAGCCTAATATCATACGTGCATGGTAAGCGTCGCCACTCAGGAGACAAAGGCGGCCGGGCTCGGTGCTGGTCACCCACTGCCTCGTGTGCCGCAGTGCCAGCCTTCGGAGGTGCTGCTCGCTAGCAGTCTCTTCAGACCATGGCGAGGATCTTTGTCTCTCTGCGTCACTGTGGTCTGTTAATGCATAACACTTTGATCCGGCCCGACCTACAAAGCAAAGCGCATGTAGCCTGGTGCTGTCACTCCCACCCCTCTCCCGCCCTCCTCTTGATAGTGAATGGCAGCTCATCATCCCTAATGGGTCAATGTAGAAAGTCGGCAGTGGTTGCCCAATGGAAAAGACTGGGCACCGCCGCCATAGGAATGTAGAGTTGTCACCACTGGCTCTTGGTCACCCGCACACTTAATTTCATTCTGGAGAAATGTAAAAAGAAAACCTTGCCTTTAAACTGTAAACTATACCACCCTGTTATTTGCAGTATTCTTCTTCTTTCGTACGGCATGTAAGCAACAGTTTTGTATCGATGTCAAAGTTGAATGTTAAGGGCCTTCAACCAATCCGTACGGCGGCAGTAGACGCCGTACGGATTGCAGCGATTGCGCCGGGGTGTGTGGCGTGGACGGCGCAGACTCGTCGGTGATGCGCTTTGACGGGTTGGGCTTCACCAGATTGGTTGAACCCTCGATTTTCCACTTGTGGAACAACGTTGTACGACAGCCGCACATCCTCCCGTGCTGCGTCCGAGCCACGGTTCGGTGTTTTGATTTTCCACGTTCATAGTCGCCCACCGTTATTTGTCAGCGCAGCATAAACGTAAACATTTCCTTATACGTATTGAAACAATATATATTTATATTTATTTGGAAAAAAAAGCCATTTCGTTCCGTTGGTTCTCCACTTTACTTCCGGCGTTATTCTTTAATGGCAAGGGCGGTAAATGCGGGCATAGTGGAAATGGCACCGTCGTTTAGCCCGGACCTCGACGCTGGCAGTCACGCTCTCGGTTAATATTACATCCGGACGGAATGCCAGCGGATTTCTCCGCTTGTGTAAACTTTTCCCCCCGCCGATCCACGCGAAACGGGGGCCCCGCGCCATGCGCTGTGGCGAGTGTCGGGGGGGGTGGGGGAGAGGCACGCCGTGTCCCTGCAACCGCCACCACCACCATCTGTTACCAGTGTGGCTTGGCACGGGCCCCCAAATGGGCAACTCAGGCCAGGGGCGTCTGGACCGGAAATAATAAAGGAGCGAGGTGGGGGTCTTTTTGTATTTTTTTTTACTTTAAGCCGGAGCCTCTGTGGGTCCCCTGGTACAGGGTGGCACTGTAGGGTTGGAGAGGTGGAACGGGGTGGGGGTGCAGGAGGGATTGGTGGTTAATGGCGCATGCAAGAATGGAACAATGGACGGGGGGCGGTGGGGGATATTAAACGGGAAAACTCGGCCATCGAAATGACTTACTCCTGAAGCTAAGGTGAGACTCCCCTTGCAAGACAACCGGTCTCTTTGTTCACCGGATGTGCAGGCAAATGTGTAAACAGATATAATTTATTGTGATAATTTACAGCTCTTTGCTCAATCCGCTGCTGGATGAAAGCCTCCCCATTCCGCGTCAGCTTGGGTTGAGGGGCCGACATTGGCGGTGAACGCTGGCCGATTGGTCGTTTTGAGTGCGGAGGCTCTGACTGTACGCTGTCGGTCGTGGGGGTTGTTTGACCATACTTCATGCTGGTTAGTGCAGATTTATTTAAAGGGATGAGGAAGCCCAGCATTGGTTGAAATATTCACCACCGATGTTCGCCGTGGCTCAATCTCGGATTTATTTGCTTCAAGACTTTTTTTATTGTTTTACCATCTCAATTCGTATTGCTTCTGATATATATTTTTTCGCGTATAATTTTGTAATGGGTTCAACTGAGTCACAGACGTAGACTTGGAGGCAACACATTTATTCAGTTCCAACACACGGGGAAACTTCCCCTTAACAGAATAACAACCTAAGGTGGTGACCACCAGGCTAGCTACACTAGTTACTATGTAACTGCTACTATGGACCGGGACCAACAGCTTCGGCCTGGGTCCACGTGTTGGAGACTCGTTGAACGGAGAACGTAGATGAAGGGTTTCTTCCAGGATGAACAACAACCCTGGTCCCTCTCGGGACCCGGCTTATCGTCTCTGCGGTGTGGCCGGCTCCGCCCTTGGCCACGTCCACCTTCCAGAATCCTCGGGAAGGATCTGGGTCCCAGTCACGTGACCCCCCCTAGCCCCCTCTTGGGGCCCCTTTGTCAACACGTGTCCTCCCGGGTCAACCAGAGTGCCATGGCCTCACATAACCTCATCCTTCGGTCGGCACCCACACACCATGTCCTGTAGGATCGGCACTGCACTTAAAGCGTGGTGCCATCCAGCGCTACCTTGCCCCTCTCGGGCCGGTACTACACCCACAGCATGTTGACATCCAGCGATGGCACAACAATTTGAATACCTTTGTTTGCTTCACCAAGCTGCATTTGGCAATAGCGTACACCTTTTCTGCGATTCCTCAACGATCGATTCGCAGGCGTCATGTGATGCGTGTGTAACGAACGTAGAGGGATTTAAGACACCGCAATTGGTACGGTTGGCTAGGTACGGTGCGAAAGAAATTCAATGCATGTACATACAAACATGGCAAAACCCGGTCCAGACTTTACTTATATTGAGCCAAACGCTGCTGGAATTGTGCTTCCCGCAAGGCCGATAGGATGCGTAAAAGTACCGTATTTTCCCGCATATAGCCCGCATACGCATATAACCCGCAGACGCATATACCCCGCAAAAATAGCGTTTTGTGTAAAACAAATTTCAGATCGCCCCCACATTTATATACCCTGCATGCATTCATATCTTTAACGTCGTTACTGCAGCTTAATTCTATCATTAATACGAAGTTTACATTTGTAATACTATAAATTGTTAACAATGAAATCATAACGTGCACAAAGAAAACAAACTAACTGGAAACGAGTGAACTTAAAGCAGTAAATAAGTAACAAACGTAAATATCCAATAAATAAGTAACACATAACTGGTAGATAAGTAAGTACAGTTTTAGCACTGGTAGATTGCGCACTTGGCAGACAAAAGTGGCACTACGGTAACGCCGTTGCCTCGCCCCCAACCCCCACCTCTCTCTCCCCCCAGCTGCCCCACCCCCCACCTCTACTTCCCCCCCCCGCTGCCCCACCCCCCAACCCCCACCTCTCTCTCCCCACCGCTCTCCCGTCGCTGGTAAACAGTGCGAACACTTCAAACATTGTCGTTTAATTGTACAAACAATTAATTTAAAACGTGATAACATGTGCAATTTTAGTGTGAGTGGTTTATTCAGCAGTGCTTTAGTCAAAGGTTGCATAGTGGATAGTCCTACCATGAAAACATTTAACGAGTCATGACATGTCACACGTGTAAAATATTTTTGGGATAGCCCGCACCTCCATATACCCCGCAGGGTCTTGTTTTGTTTGTAAAAAGTGGGATACCCCGCGGGTTATTTGCGGGAAAATACGGTAGTTTTACTTTAGATTCTCTACGCGGAAGGACAGATATGTATGAAGGGGACGTATCCGTCTGCATATTTGGTCTGTCACTGGGAGGTCTGTGTGCCGGTGATGTCTGGCACGCTGCCTTTCTCCTACTCCTCCCTCCACTCATTCCTCTCCTGGGCCATCTCCAACGTCCACTCCACAGTCCCCTTCAGAACTTGGCTCTGAAACCTCCTCGTTCATGACCAAAATAAACGGCGACTTGAAGCCTTCTCCAAGCCCGCCTCTCGGTTCTCCGCCCTGGCGCTTCCACGTTCGTCGCCTTTCTCGTCCCGATGTGGTTTTCCTCTCTCGTCACGACGCGTCCTACCCCAGTCAATCCGAGTCGACTTCTCTCCGCTTGTCTGAGATGGGTTCCACTCACCCCTCACCCTAACCGGCATCTCTCAGCCAATCAGAGTTGAATTTCTCTCCGCTTGTCTGAAATGGGCACCTCCACTCTCGTCATCTGGCTCGCCTCTTCCTTTCTGCTCCAGTCCGGCCTTGCCCTGAGATCGGTTTCGTCGTCCTCATTTCTGCGGTGCACAACAATCTGCTCCTCCACAGGCTTTCAGAGTCCCGACCTGTCCAGGCCCAGAGTATATGTGGGCCAAGGGATTGTGCGTTCGATAGCGCGGGTGAGGAGCCCTGCGGCTGATTATGTTAGAAACGGCGCTCGATGGAGCTTACGTTGTGATATGCCTAAAAATATCAGGCGCTCGCTCGTGCGCGCTCAAACGAAAAGGAACTGAAACGCAATTAGCGTAGCGATGTTTTCGTGCGTGAGCAGGCCGGGTGCGTGGGCTGCCGAGGATA